GGTATGTTCGCCGGTGTTGGGATAGGGTTGTTGGCAACTAAGGCTACGCTGAAGACGACAACAAAAAATAATAATTCGTGCCATGTTTTATTCTAACAAAAAAAAATACCTATAATTTCTTACTATTTCTGAATAACAATTTACCTCCATAACTAATTCAATACCTACACTTATAAAACTATTATCTATTAAATTCATATTTCATTAATTGTCTGAACTTCAACATTTCAAAACAAAAAAAGAAAAAATAAAAACAGGAAAGAAAAAAAACAAAATTTCTATCCAAGCTACAAAAAAGAAAAATAAAATAAAATAAAGGCTAGCACCTAAGCTGCAGGTTCGGCCCCTGGGCAACCCCGCAGCTTCCATTTCTCCTAATATTGCACCTTCCACTCACCAGTCTACGTCCTTGGTAGCACCAGCCTGGACAGCTATGTTTTTCTCCAACTCTGGAAACTTCGGTAAGATTTCCGATAATGCCTGGCAATTGTTATTATAGTATTTCATTTTTTTTTCTTCTTTTGTCACCTTGATTTTTAAACGATAAAATCAAAAAAATATATATATATAAAAAGAAACAACAAAAAACTAAGCCAACGAAGCAAAAAAAAACTCTCAACAAAAGAATGAAGTAATTTAAATTCAGTTGACGCGTAGCTCTGCCTTAAGAGGACAATGTGATCCCAAAACTAATACCACCCCTTTATTTAAGAACCTTAAAGAATCAATGATTTCAGTGATACTTAGAAATTTATCTGCAAACTGAGTAGAATTGTTCAACGCCTTCATAAAATAAATCCAAGAAAAAAAAATAAATTTTTATATAGTTCAACTAGGTTAACATTTTTTTTATTATTATTTTAATTATTGATAATGGTTATATTCATTAACAGAGACATAAAAATAAAATAAAAATAAAGTAAATAATTTCAATATATTTTTCTTCTATAAATAACATACATAAATCAATACGATTAAAAAAAATTATAATAATAAAAAAAATTATAATATTAAAAAAAAAGAAATAAGAGAAAATTACAATGTAAATATATATAAGTGGGGGGATGGGATTGAACATACAAGGTAAAGTGTCTGATTGCATTTAACATGGTAAATGCCAGCGCGATCCTTGTCACTGTTCTCTCCAAGTTGACACACAGCCTCCACGTGGCCCCTCTGGATAGCTACAATCATCCGTGCGTAGTGAACTAATGTGTGCAGCGAAATCCACCTCAGGGATATATGAGGTTTTGCGTCGGGCTTGGAACCCACCATTTAAAAAATCCTTTCAATGCAAACGAAGAGGCAGCCTCGGATAAGGAAACGATCTACTGATGACGACAAACGCAAACGTATTAAGGAACACGATTTAAAAATATGCACCTGGAATGTCCGAACTCTTTACAGAGAAGGTGCATCTATACAGCTGGTTAATGTCCTCAAGGAATATAAGGCTGACATTACCGCTCTCCAGGAAATGCGATGGACGGGACAAGGATGCTCTAAACGAAATCATTGTGACATCTACTACAGCTGCCATGCAACAAAGCACGAGTTTGGAGTCGGATTTGCGGTAGGCCAAAAGCTGAGAAATTTGGTCTCAACGTTTACACCAATAAACGAAAGGCTCGCAAAAATCCGGATTAAGGCAAAATTTTTCTTTATCACTCTAATATGTGCGCACGCCCCGACGGAAGACAAAGATGACGACACCAAGGAAATTTTCTATGAACAACTTGAACAAGCATATGAACGCTGTCCCCATCATGACATCAAAATAGTTGTTGGAGACTTCAACGCAAAGGTGGGTAAAGAAGGTATCTTTGGTGCTACTGTCGGAAAGTTCAGCCTTCACACGAAAACTTCTGATAATGGAAGAAGGCTGATTGATTTCGCCGCGGCTAGAAACATGGTGGTTAGTAGTACCAGATTCCAGCATCTCAACATACATAAGGCAACATGGCTGTCACCTGATCAAAACACAAGATCTCAAATTGATCACGTTGTGATAGACGGAAGGCATGCTTCCAGTGTCTTGGATGTAGGTACTATCCGTGGAGCCAACATCGACTCGGATCATTACCTTGTTGCAGCCAAGATCCGCACACGTTTATGTGCGATGAAAAAGGTACGTGAACAAGCACAGCGAAAGCTAGACGTCGAAAAGCTGCAATCACAACAGACAGCTAATGACTTCGCTACTCGACTCTCCCAATATCTGGAAAATTCATCTGAAGAAGCCGATATATGCGCGCAATGGAACCACATCTCTAACTCTATGCGTACCGCTGCAGAAGAGGTGATCGGCTATCACCGTATACAAAGAAACAGCTGGTACGACCAAGAGTGTCGCAATGCTACCGCAGAGAAAGACGCAGCATATCAAGCCACCCTGCGGTCAGTTGCGACGCGCGCTGTTAAAGAGCGATATCGGCAAAAGAGAAGGGAGGAGAAACGTCTTTTCAGGCGAAAAAAGAAGGAAACAGAAAGACGTGAGTACGAAGAGCTTGAGAAGCTGGGCGACAGGAATATGGCTCGAAAATTCTATCAAAAAATTAAAAGCCTGACAAGTGGTTATAAACCCGGAGCTAATTCCTGCAAAGATGAAAACGGTAATCTGGTGATAGATGTCCAAAGCATGCTTAATATTTGGAGGGATCACTTCTCGAAACTACTAAATGGCGGTAGTAGCAATGTGACTGAAAGCGAAGATGATCCCGAATTTTCAATCGTTGACGATGAAATAATCGTCCCGCCTCCCGATCATAATGAAGTTAAAACAGCTATAACGCGGCTCAAAAACAACAAAGCTACAGGCGCCGATGGTTTACCGGCTGAGCTGTTTAAAGTTGGTGGCGAAGAGCTATCAAAATGCATGCTACAGCTAATTCGCAACATTTGGTCGGATGAATGCATGCCCAACGATTGGAATTTAAGTGTGCTTTCCCCAATCCACAAAAAAGGTGATCCTGCAAACTGCGCCAACTACCGCGGGATCAGTCTTTTAAATATCGCATATAAGGTTCTATCAAACGTACTATGTGAAAGATTGAAGCCAATCGTCAACCAACTGATTGGACCTTATCAGTGTGGCTTCAGACCTGGCAAATCCACTCTAGACCAGATATTCACAGTGCGTCAAATCCTGGAGAAGACTCAAGAAAAACATATCGACACACACCACCTATATGTCGACTTCAAAGCTGCTTTTGACACTACGACTAGAAGCACACTTTATGCCGCTATGTCTGAATTTGGTATCCCAGCAAAACTTATACGGCTATGTAAAATGACGTTGAGCAACACCACTAGC